GGAGGAATGACATGGAACATAAAGTGTCGCTTTATGCAGATGACCTTTTACTTTTTATTTCCAAACCATCAACCTCACTGCCTTTTGCTCTCGACATATTTAGCCAATTCGGTCAGATTTCTGGGTATAAGTTGAACCTTACCAAAAGTGAGCTTTTCCCCATAGGCAATAAAGCTAATTTGTCAGATTTTGCTAATCTGCCGCTCAGAATTGAAAGACAAAAACTCACATACCTTGGTATCACAGTGACAAAAAAAAACATAAAAACCTGTTCAAAGAGAATTTGATTCAACTGTTGAACCAAGTGAAGGGATCCCTTACAAAGTGGACACCCTTTTCCATGTCCCTTGTGGGACGTATCAATTCAATTAAAATGAATATACTACCCAAATTTCTATACCTTTTCAGGCATTACCTATCTTTATTCCTAATACTTTTTTAATGAACTGGACTCGATTTTTTCATCCTTCATTTGACAGGGTAAATGCCCAAGGCTTAATAAATTACAACTCCAAAAATCCAAACAGCAGGGGGGGTTTGCCTTTCCCAATTTCCGGTTTTATTATTGGGCCGCCAACCTTAGATGCTTAGTGTTCTGGTATTTTTACCATAACCTGGGTGGCTGCCCTGACTGGGTGGCTATGGAGCTACGTAGTGGTAACAACATATCCATCCCGGCTGCTTTGCTCCCCACTCTCACTTGCTTCAGCTAAGCCCATTTTAAACCCTGTAGCGAAACACTCACTGAAAATATGGGGCCAGTTTAGGAAATACTCCACGATTTTTCTCTCTTAAGTCCAATTGCACCTAACCATTTTTTTAAATCATCTGTTCAGGATGGGGTGTTCCTAGAGTGGCACCGGAGGGGGCTTACTCATTTTAAGGACCTTTTCACAGAGAAGAATTTGGCACCCTTTGTGGAACTTGATAATAAATATGGTTTACCCAAATCCCATTTTTTTAGATATTTGCAAGCCAGAAACTTTCTTCAGTCTCACCTTTCAGGCTCAGTTTCTCTGCCAGAGCATTCACTGTTAGAAACCATCCTATTATTGAACCCGACTCATAAAGGGCTGGTTTCGTGGCTTCATGATAAAATGCTGACTATGAAAGAGACGTCCTCACCTAAACTTAAAACTTTATGGGAAGAAGACCTGAATACGGCTATACTGGATGAGACGTGGGCCTCTACACTCAACCTGGTGAATACAACATCTCTGTGTGACGCCATCGTCTCATTCAGTTCAAAATGGTACAGAGTCCATCTGTCCAAAAGCAAACTGTCGTTTCTATCCAGAAATCACCCCATACTGGTCCTGCCCCGCTCTGGGTCGGTTCTGGACAGATGTTTTCCGTACGATGTCCAGGCTGGCAGGAGTAACACCTGGGCCTCTCTTGG